AGAGCGGGAGGGGATGGAGATGTGTACGAGGTCAGATATGTAAGGAGGGGCAAGATGGTGGATAGCTTTGAACGTGAGAAGAAGAATTTTGAAGACAATGCGTGATTTGACCAGGAGCCAGTGGAGCTGCTGCAGGACTAGGGTGATGTGGTTATGGGAGGAGGTTTGGGTGATGACACGTGCAGCCGAGTTCTGGACCATCTGAAGCTTATGGAGGGATTTGTTGGGGAGGCCAAAAAGGAGAGAGTTGCAGTAGGCAATCCGCCAAGTCACTGTGGACAAGGATGGCTGTCGTGCGGGGTGTGAGAGAAGGACGGAGACGGTTGATATTTCTGAGGTAGAAGTGACCGAGTATCAGTACTGATGCGTGCAGTGAAAGAGAGAGTGGTGTCGAGGATGACACCAAGACTTTTGACCTGAGGGGAGGGGGTTCGCAGAGAGTTGTTGATAGGGATGAGGAGATTATTAGATTTTGAGATGGAATTTTTAGTGCCAACAAGGATGATTTCTGTTTTATCACTGTTCAAGTGAAGGAAAGTGTCTGAAAACCAGTGACTGAGTTCATTGAGACAGTCAGAGAGGATGGAGGGAGGGTGTGTAGAGTTTGGCTTCGTTGACAGGTAGAGCTGTGTGTCATCGGCATAACAATGGAAACATACACCAAACGTGGAAAATGTAACCAAGAGGAAGGAGGTAAGTTATGAAAAGAAGGGGTCTGAACACAGAGCCTTGTGGCACACCGGTGGAGACGGGGGATGACTGAGAATGGAAGGATTTTATCTGGATGAATTGAGTGCGGTCAGAAAGATTGTCAAATACAGAAACTACCATAAAGTGTATAAAACTTTTCATTAAATGAATGTCATTCTCTTTAGCAATGACAACATTTTGTGTATGACCAAACTGCATTCTTCTGTGTTTGCAGAATACATATTTGGTCTTATTTATTTTTGTTCTGTGCATGCAAACAATACGCACACAGTACATGTATTCAATAAATTATTATTAATTTCTCTGCATTTTTCCCACTGCACAAGTGAGCACCCAGCAGTGATCTAAAGCTGAGGGCAGCTGGAGGGTTAAGGGCCTTGCTCAAGGGACCACAGTAGGGCAAATGAGGGTGGAGCCACACCCAAATTAATTGTGCCAGTCATGGGAGTTGAACCTGTGATCAGAAGCTTGCCTTTTCTAACCTCTATTACAACTCTAATACATTTAGCTTTCTTTTGGGTAATATGGTTATGGTTTGGTTAACAGGGATGGATGAAGAACTCATATGAGCGGAGGCCTCGTGATTGGGCCCAGTGCTCTCCCCAAAAAGACACTAAGCCTTATTCAGA